ACGCCAATGGATGGCTTTCGGTCGTCGGAGCATAATGAGAACGGCGGTTGGAGTGGCAGCGGAAATGTCCCTTGGGATCCTACACTCTCCATGCTAGGCTGATTAATTCTTTATTTAAATTCCACCCAAAATTGAAGAAATTACACTAACCATTGTTTAATCATTGGGTTGTGATCCATTTCATTAAATTTACTTATTGTAAAGCTCAAATTATACGTAATAATGATTTCCACATAATCCTCCCATTCGTGTTTCTAGTTATCACACTTGACCATTTATTTCTAGGTGCCCCATTGAGATTTTAATAAACACACAGACCCTCGGCCTCAAGGCTTAAAAATAGGAAAGGTTTTGTTTGGTTTAAGGAGAGGAGTATAAATTTTCCATTGAGAAAACAAAAATGGGAGTGAAGGGAAGGGGACTGGGGAAGCTTTTAATTTCATTTATAATTTGCATAACCAAACAAAAAGGGGACGGAGGGGCATCCGCCCTCTTAGTTTCCTTAAACCAAATAGAGAGTAAGATTACAAGCATCAATTAGCGCCCTCCCCACCCCGTTTCCCTTAAACCAAACAAAGAGTAAGACTACGAGCTTCAATTGGCGGAAGTCCCTGTAGTGATTCAAAAGTTTAGTGATCCAAATAATTAGTGCAATACAATCAAGTGATATGTTTGATCTCTAATCCTAACATCTTCGTAATGGGTTCAAAAAATCTATAAAAATGAAGATTGTCAGTCCTGCTTCAAGGCTTTTGTTATGACTGCTCTGGTAAATACAATGGCAATATAAGCCAAGACTGTAACACTGATACCACCAAGCAGAATCAGACGGTCGTAAGCAATATCTTGAACAGTGTAGACCCGGAGACCAATTGCATTCCAATTGCTCTCTGTCCAAACAGGGTCCACCAGTCCCATGGGATCAGAGGAATTTGGAGGCAATACTTTCCAAATTCCATTGTCATATTTCAACCGGGTTGAATAAGCAGGGACATACCTGGAATGACCAATTACAAAAATCACCAAGCTAAATCACCATATTCAATAAATGAGACTAGGCATAAGGTAAAGCCCGGTAAAGCCCTTTTTCGTCCTTATACCATCCTACTACCGATTTAGAGGGTTCAATGAAATACCATAACTATTTGTTATTTGCCAATTAAATGGTTACCTGGTTGTGGAGTCAACACAAACTTCCTTCCCACCTGCCTCCCTTTTAATGCAGACTCCACCTCTCTTGCTGCAATCTTCTGAGCAAATAGAACTAGCTTTCCCCTTTAGAATGGATGTTCTATCTGCCAAAAAATACCACAAAAACCTTGAAATATCATCCACATATTCAGCGTTAGGTTTCGAGGTAGGTTCCCCAACAACAACACCAACGTAATGGCTTGGGCACGCATTGGTCGGTAAAATATACTTCATCACCAGCTCACAAGATAGACCCGGATCACAGTCCAATAGACAACCCATAAGTTCCTCAACGAGAGAGGCATTCACATTTATTGCATTTAGAGCTGAACTGCTTAAATTTTTGTCATCACTTGCAAGAATGTACAGGGTCCGTGCAACAAGAGAAGCAGCTGCTACTATTGCTGAAGAGTTTACATTTGCTGCAATAAACATGTTACAAGAAACATTAAAAAAATTTCGGATAGCCAACAATATTTAAGATAAATAACAAAGAAATTGAGATAAACAAACCAGAATTTACTCACAGAAATTATCAAGGTGACTATGGTAGAATTTGTTGGCAAAAACAGTGTCAAAATCCTCTAATACAATGCCAGGAGTTGAAGAGTTCTGTAGAGCAATACAAGCAAAGAGACACTGAATCAATTTGCAACATTGTGTCCATGTTTGTGGGAGAAAAAAATAGAAAAGGAATTATTGATGGTGAAATAAAATATAGAGTTCAAGTTACTGATCAAACCCTTCTAAGAAATGCCATCAAGGATGAGGGAGGTATGCCAGGATTTGAAGTGTTAGCTGACACAACATTAATCCCTTCGGATGTGAGAGACCCTTGGGCATGTTTTAAGGCATCCAATGTTGCATTTGTGATAGATGAAACCTGAAAAAAAATCACAACCAAACATTGAGTAACCTGACCATATGGGAAATGAAAATATATTTCAATAAAAATGCAAGTTGACATTTGCTGCTACTATTACATCTAAACGAGCTAGCCAAAAAAAAAATAAAAATAAAAAGTAAAAAACAAAAATAAATAAAAACATCTAAATGAGCAAAATATTTTCCAGGGACCAAAGTAGATGTATTACACACCTAAAACACTAGAAATTATTTATTTATCAATACTAAGAATGAAAAATGATAAGAGAGATGCCAATTCCCCTAATGAATGCTCACATTACACCACATTACAGGTGATTATCCAGCTATGCCAATTCCTCTGGTAGGCAGCCAACTGTTTTGCTTTTCTATTTCTACTATAGTGGCTAATCACAAGACTTGAACTACACAATTTTGCTTGTAAGCTCAAAACTTCCATTATTGCACTAGACCATAAGCAATGCAACAGCTGATAAGAAAGCAACATTCAATTCATAGAATCAATAGTTCTCACCATTGACGTATGAGCAAAAATGGTTTTCTCCCCCTGCACAAAGCCCTTTCCAATGGATCCAATTTCTATGACCTTGCAAAATCACCCAAAAGATAAATTGTTAGCTTTCTAAAAAAATTTTATTTTCAGATTAAAAGGCTTCAAATGACATGTAACATTGTCCTATTTAACACATAACTGAAGTATGCCCAACTGAATACATCAAGTACGAGCATGAATCTAAACATTTTAGCTCAAGCTATCATGCCAATGAGCATGATGTGTGTATCTAAAAGATAATCCAAGACAAAAGTGTGTGTGTGACCAAGCGATCAGAATCAATCATCTTGTTACTTCTAATAATTTATTTATTTTTCTTCCTTTTGTGGTGCACCTGTGTCATTATGTGAGCTGATAAAAGTAACAATATTATATCATAATCATCTCCCTCTAAATTACACCATACAAAGCAAATTCAGAGCAATACCAGCTGAATCAAGTCACTATTTAGGCCTTTAACAGCATCAGAATGCATATCAAGTTCAAGCAAAAACCTTCTGCTACCAAGGTAACCCCAGGACTCTCCAGTGAAAACTATAAAAACCAGCTGCATTAAATTAATGGAACTGTCAGAACCAGAAAACAATATCTTTCGAGGTATACTACCACTGAATGGAAGATGGAGAATCATAGACAAACCTGTTTACTTAAATCATCCAAACCATCCACATGAGAAAGAGCATCAACAGCTGCCAGCAGAGAAATCAATCCCTGACAATTGTTTGGAACATAAATTATTTTTGAACTCATTTGGGCAGCAAACATCACTTTAAAAAAATGAAATATATTTATAAACTTACTGATATAGGAGAGTCTGCACCAAGGCTTTTGTCACGGAAAAATGATGCAGAATCCATGGAAGCCACTGTTAGTATAATGGGCTTGGACTGGTCTGAAGCTGAACTATTGATAGGTTGAAGAGATGACCAAACACTGCCCTTCACAGTTGCGATGCAAAACATTTAAAAACTGAGATAAAAATGTTATAACTAAATAAAGGATGTCTATAACCATAAGCTGTCTATATCAGTATTTCCCTGTTAGGTCTTTGGGAAGAAGCATTTGACAACAAGAAGAGAACCTCACCAGGACACATGATGTAACACTTACAAAGTTAATTTTCAACTACATGGCTTTTCATAAGATGGTTGCAGCCCATTAAGAAAGTGATTATGAGAAATCTTGTGTTTTAGCTGATTAAGGAACATTACTTTGGTCTTTTGAATCAAATAAACCACAATAGTGGATGAAAACTAGACTGCCAACTTCTGATTGTGTCAATTGATAAGCCCTAAGAGCTGCAATTGATCGGGTATGGTGTTGAACTCTCTTTTCATTTGAATATAAGATACAAGTACATTGACCTCTAGTTCACTCATTATTTAACATTGCATGGGGCTTATGTCTTTGTAACTACCTAACATTTTCACATTCGATGGAAAACTTTAGTACTCTAATAATGGAGGAATATAAAGAACTCACCTGTATCCACCTAATGGGAGGCAAGCTTCTTCTCTTAAACAAGATTCTGAATCATGAGTCCCCACTTTGGTGGTCTGTACCAATGCAAATTTATCAAAATCTAGCACATAAGTCTTTAATTTATGGGAATTCTTTTATTACTGCTAAAATGTGGATGACCATAATTGTATTGGACTTTAATACCTGCATCACCAGATCGAGTTCAGCCACATCAGCAGTATAAGTTTTCTTCTTTATCTCATTCCTCAAAGCAACCTGCATATAAGTAAAATTCTTAATACATTTGGATCAGATGAAGAGTGCAATCTAATCCAGTTAGGAAGAAAAGCCTTTTTCCTACTTCATTTTCTCTCTTTGGGAGGATAATTTGATAAGTTCAAGTTCAGTACAAACAAAAACCAGTGCTCAAGACCCCTTTCACGCAGAAATTACTTTTTGACAGTGCAATTAAATGGCATCCACTCCTCTTCCCATTCAAAAATTACTCAGACAGTCATACACCACCAATCTATGTCATACATGGATCATGTAAGCCTTTGTTTTCCATTTTTTTGCCAATATCACGCCAGGCACATTCTGAAGCTATACATGCGAACCCAATAATGCAACACATTTCTACCAGAACTTATAAAATTTCAATGGGAAATGCATAAACAGGAAGCTAATAGATTTGCATCCAGTAACGTAAATTATAGTATTCTACAAAACGAACTGCTTGCTCAAGAAGATTTGTTTTGTTTTTACAGAAAAATATAAGTATCACCTCGCTAATTAATGTTACAAAAACATAAATCTTGGAAGAGCAAAAAGAAATGGTCAACAGAATCCTATAGTTACCTCCTGTAAGGTCACTGTGCTACTCTGGGAAAGCAAGAATACAGGAAAATTATAAGGTTTCCACATGATACCAGATCCCTGCAAATGAAAGTTATGTTTCTTTAAAATGTTCAGCATAATGTACAAAGTAGTCATCCTACAGTCCAAACCCACAAAAAGTTTAAATCACGTATGTTACAAGTTTTAGAAAGGAGCAGCAGCTATCATCCACCAATAAAATATTGCTGTGAACTATCTGAAAATCTTTCTTTCACAAACCTAATCTCTATATATGCTAGAAAAGGTATCTTAATTCCAAAGATGATCCATCTAAAAAATCTTTCTGCCAGATAACCAAACACAATAAGTACTTATTATACTCAACTATTTCACAGGCCATCTTTGATCTTACCATTAATATAGAGTTTATAAGAGGCTAATTATTCAAAGATATAAATCATTTAAACTAAAGAGTTGAGCAATAGAAGCTGCCTAAATAAATAACATGAAACTCAGTGGAACTTATCCCAAGATGGACTAATAGCATACATTTGGGTTCCACTCAAAGTTGGAATCATTATATGGTGCAAATTCAACTTGTGGGAACTTCAGATCAGGAGAGAATCCTACAAGCAACAAAGAATGCAAAAGTCAGCAGAGTGAATAGGTATCTTTTATCCTATTTACCTTTATACAGAAAATCTGATATTAAGTGAATATCATGATTTACCTCTTAACTTATCTCTGATTTCAGTCCCTGATTCAACTAAAACACCACCAACATTCATCGCAAAGCTGGGATCATTTGATATTCTGGAGCAGAGGCAGTTTAGTTAACGATATGGTTTGAGACATAATTATTTCTTTTAACAAATAATATAGGAAGTAACTTGCAGGATAATCACAAGCAATACAAGCACCAAAAAGCATCTATGTACATGATGCTTATCACCCATCAATCAATCCTAACATCTTAACCAACAGATGTCAGAGAAAACACATTACAGGCCAAAAAAAACATAAAGTGAAAAGATAACATGCCTACTGAAAAGATCCTGCATATCATCCAACGAAACCAAAATTGTAGATGGCTGAGCTAGCTCTTTAGCATTCTTGTATCTTACAATCGGAGCAACAACCTTGTCCCGACTAGGATCTGAAAACACAAATTGAAAGGATATTATCAATGCAACAAACAGTCATTTCTCGTCCGCCACAAGAAAATATTCTCAAGATAAATTATGTCAGCTGAATAAAGAAAGCCTCAGAAGGATATTACTTGAACAACCAATCTCCCCAGAAAGACTGAGCAGTCGAACACAAGGATATCCATCAACAACCATGTACATTGACTTCTGAAGATCAGGAACCGACTCCATGGAGTTCGGCTGCCCTGGAGTTCCCAAATCAAACGAGAAGCTAAATTCAATACTAAATACAAAACATCAACAACAAAAATAGGAAATTGAAGTGAAATGGAAGAAACATATATAACAAACAAACACGAAAGGGTACAACAGAATACAAATTACAACGCTACAAAGCAAAAACTCAATAATATTTCTATCTTAACTGTTAATAAGCTCCCTAATACCATAATCACCAGAACACTCACCGGAGAACGAAAGACGAAGGTGAAAATGGAAGAGCAAGAAGAGGAGAAAGAAACGCTTCATCGTCATGGCGAAGATATTCGGCGGCAACAAGAAACCCTATTCCATGTTCGATTTGCAAATTTGAAGAGCGATAAACTTCCTCTCTTCCGATGGACTGATTGACTGGAGTAGATGATCAGAACCTTGTGATCTCAGTTATCCTTCGCGGGTTCAGATATATGGGTCGGATCGGTAACAACCTTCAGGTCCTTCAACTTTTACGGTGTTCGTTTTTGTTCTTTAATTTTATTTTCGGTCAATTTAGTCCTTAAGATTTATTGGGCCGTCATTGAGACAAAAGCATATGTTCAACCTATTGCCTAATGTGTCACTTTTACCTATTCATCTTATGTATTGAAATCTTTAACCCCTAAATTAAAAATTTTGAAGATTTTAACTTAAATGAAATTAGCTAATTCTCCTATTATTGAAATTAAAACATTAAAAAATTAATTTTTAAAATTTATGAAAGTGAACTGTTCAATCTTGTAAGTTTATAAAAGAAATAAGTAGTCCAAAAGATCAAAATCTTTTGGTATATTAATTTATTTAAACATTTTTGAGACTTTCTTGTCACTTTTCTAAATTTGGGAAACTGATTTTATAATTTCTAATTTCACTCAAGGAGAGGTAACGAGTTCAGTCGGTCCAGGGGCTAAAATTTTCTGACTTTTTAGTTTAGAGTCTTAAGGCTTCAATATCTAAGATTAGGGATTATAAGCGACTAACTTCATAACATAAGGGGCTAAACATAAGCTTTTGCCCCGAATCCAAAGCCCAAACGGAAACCAGGCACGCACCTGCAATTCAGCATCCACGCAGCATCAAAAAAATAAAAAATAAAAATCAACACTAACCCTAGCTTTTCACCGTATCCACGCAGCATTTCTTCTTTGCGTCGATCCTCAGTCCAAGTTCCGACGAACTGAAAATGGGGTTAGGCTCGTTAGCCTCAAGAATTCTGAAGAACAACAAGCTCATCTCCAACTCCGCGAGAATTCTTTCTTCCCGGAACTGCATAACCCGTTCCATCGTCACCAAGCCGGAGCTTCAATCCCCTGATGCCTCTGCAGCTGCTGCTGCAGCCCAGCCAGAGCCCACTCCTCCGCCGCCGAGGAAACCTGTGGCCGGGGCCAGGGTCCACTTCGCCAATCCGGATGATGCCATCGAGGTTTTCGTTGATGGATATCCGGTGAAAATTCCAAAGGGCATGACTGTTTTGCAGGCCTGCGAGGTCGCCGGAGTTGACATTCCCAGATTCTGCTACCATAGTCGGCTTTCGATCGCGGGAAACTGCCGAATGTGTCTTGTCGAGGTTGAGAAGTCCCCCAAGCCAGTTGCGTCCTG